GCTCACCCTGTGGTCTGCGTGGGTCCTAACGCCCCAGTATAGTGACGGGGACACTATACTGACAAAAAGCACCATCTTTCGGATGAGATGTTAAACCGAGGTCCTGACTCTCTGTGGTCATTAAAAATCCCATGGCACTTCTCTAAAGAGTAGGGGTGTAACCCCGGTGTCCTGGCCAAATTGCCCCCCCCCTGGCCCTTGTCTATCATGGCATGGCATGATCTATTTATATGTGGTACCTTGGACACATTATCAGATGTCCTCTTAGTATAATATTTGTAAAATGGCTATACACCGAGATTTGACTGTGACAGTCATCCATTCATTTATTCTAACCTATTTCTAAAGGTTTGGAGATCAAAATCAATGTCTTCAAATACAATAAAAGACGCTTGCAGTGTGTTTTCGTTTATTTTATACTGTCCACATCATAGTTTTGTTTAGTTTGCTTGTTTTTATTAGATCTACTTTGTATGTTTTGTAAACATCTTTAGCATTGAAACTGCCCATATCTTTTGTGTAAAACGTTTTAGTTCAGTAAGCTAAATAAATCACTGAGTGCACAACTGAAACAGGTGTGTTGGAGGTATGAGCTGAACTTTTTTCATGTTGTGGCTTGAACGCAACAATCATTTTGTGTGAAATCAGTGTGCCACCGTGTGGTGGGATTAAATATTGCAGTAATAAACTCCTGCTGTCATGCTTTGTTTTCATTAGTGGACATATTGCGGAAGTTTTTCTCACTTTGAAAACACAAACTCATACATCGTTTAGATGCATGCTACAGAATAACTCATTAGATGTGGTTTATAATATATAGATAAAACGGCTTAAATGCAATCAACTAATACATTTTTATTACCAGATCAAAATGCAGTTCGCACAATTGCAAAAAGAGTGGGCTATTTGGCTATTGGTTACGCAGGGATACGCAGACCACAATAGTGCTAGCTGTAAAATAAAAATAAAGAACAACAACGACTAATACAAAGTGTGTGATGTGATCTTCCTGACCTTTTGAAATTGCGTTCTGGGGACGCGTCGATATCCGCCACCGACGACTTTCTCTTGCTCCTCCTCGGTCTTTCGTTCACCGGCACTGGAGATCCGTCGGTTTCCTCCATTTGAAAATGTGGACCTGGAATGCGCTACTGTAAACTGTGTGTACAAAACGTAATACAATTAAAATGAGTTATTTGGGGGGGTGAATTGAAAGGGGGAAGTTCGCTATAGTCAACAGATAGGACGGATTTTGAATATGGCGGAAATGTGAAGTCATAGCCAATCAGGAGTGGGCAGGGGGCACGATTGTTAGGATCATAGGTTAGGATGATACGGGCGAAAAGGGAGGGATTTAAGGCGACTAGTGACGAAACACTTGCGCGCCTGCTCTGTCTCGTGCAGTGTACTATGTCAAATAACAGAAAAGTATTGTTTTTTTATTTTTTAAATATTGCCACAGCCATATCACTTTAAAAAAAAAAAATTTTTATTGCCACACTCTAAAAAATGCTGGGTTAAAAAGGGACAAACCCAGCTATAGAGAATGAGGAGATCCCTAGGAGCTTGGGGAAAGTGTTGTACTATTTTCAAATGCTGATTTAATGTGCTAAGACAGTGATGCTAAAAGACATGCAGATGAGCCAGAATATCAACGCGACATGTTTAAATGTAAAGCGTTTTCCTCCTGGGTCAAAACAACCCAACCGCTGGGTCAAAACAACCCAACCGCTGGGTCAAAACAACCCAATAGCTGGGTTTGTCCCTTTTTAACCCAGCATTTTTTAGAGTGCACAGCCATATAACTCTGCAGCCTAAGACTGGTTGCCCACTGAAGCTAAGCAGGGTTGAGCCTGGTCAGTACCTGGATGGGAGACATCCTTGGAAATCTAGGTTGCTGTTGGAAGAGGTGTTAATGAGGCCAGCAGGGGGTGCTCACCCTGTGGTCTGCGTGGGTCCTAACGCCCCAGTATAGTGACGGGGACACTATACTGACAAAAACCACCATATTTCGGATGAGATGTTAAACCGAGGTTCTGCCTCTCTGTGGTCATTAAAAATCCCATGGCACTTCTCGTAAAGAGTAGGGGTGTAACCCTGGTGTCCTGGCCCTTGTCAATCATGGCCTCCTAATAATCCCCGACCACTTGATTGACTCTATGACTTTCTCTCATCTCCACCTGTATCTGGTGTGTGGTGAGCGCACTGGTGCCGTTGTCCTGTGGATGCACCCCCCCCCCCCCCCCCCCACATGATTGTAAAGCACTTTGGGTGTACAATAAAGCATTATATAAATGCATCATTCATTCATTTATTAATTCATTTTTGTATTCAAATGTATCCAGGTAATGTATTATTTGTATTTTATATCCAAATGTAATAAAACTGAGCAGTACCTCAAAACGATCTCTGCATCTGAAAACAAAGATGTAAAGGCTAAAAACAAAAACTAATTATATTTTAAATGTAAATATTTTTTCAACACTTTATTAAGCCCCTTGGCTTTTTGTGTAGGCTACTATTAGATATTATAGGCTATTGTTGTAATAGGCTATGTCTAAATAAAAAATATAAAGAGAAAATATGGTAACAGACACTGAAGTCTATTTTTACTCAGCACAGCTGACTTTTAGGGGCTAATTTCTATAATAGGCTATTTTAACAATACTGAATATAAAAGGGTGAATTCAGGTAAAGTGGGCCATTTAGGTTTGATTGTACTGTATGCTCAATGGATTTACACTTTCAGAGCATAACAATGGTTCTTAATTAAAGGAACACTATTTCTCTAAATGATAAAATAGTGTTGGTTGATGCAATATGACACTTATGGTGAAAGGTAGAAAGCCCTTCGGCATAAGATTTTCATTTCTAAATTATAAGGTTGCTCACTAAATGGAAACACATAATATTGGGACAGTTCCTGCTTTGTTAAAATTCATTAAATAAAAATTGGCATTCACTGGTTATTTTATAGAATGCATGCATAATTTACTTTTTTAGAAAACAGAAATGAGACTGCAGTCAGGAAATTCAAATCAGATGGAAGAAAGGAAAGAAAAGAGAAAATAGAAGGGAAGTCGAGGCATGAAGTTCAGTCTGTGGAGTGAAGAAAGGATGAGAGGAGCAGAATAGAAAGCTTAAAATATGAATACAATTAAAGTTAATTTAATTTAAAGTGTTTAGATAACATAGACAGGAAAACATATGGTTACCATTTAAAATGTTCCTCTTATTAATTTTTTTTAGCCTATTTTTTATTGCTTGTGTTATAGTCACATTTTTTATATATTGTAATAGTTTTCTGATATTCAGATTTCATCAAATTTAATGTCAACACGTTCTTTCAGTTGTTTGGAATTTCACACATGAATTGAGACGAGGATTTACACATGATTTGTTTTACTCATAACCTATAGGTTATATAATTTTGTGTTTGTTAAATATGTTTGCCTGATAATGTGTTAATATATCATGTGTTTTTAATTAAAATGTAGAATATTGTTTGATAAATGAATGGCCCACTTTACCTGAAAAGAAATTTGTCTTGAGTGCATGATCTCAAATTGTTTATTGGTATATAGCTTGCAAATAACACTTTATATGAACTGTATTCAAATTTAAATATTATAGCTGGACCTTAAAAAGTTAACAAAAGTAATAAAAAAAAGAAAAAAACATCTAGGTTTCTAAATGACATGTTTTACAGAAAGTGTCCCTGAATTCTTTACCTGAATTCACCCTAGGCTTATATGTAGACTTATGTAGTACCAATATTCTACAAAAATGAACAATTCTGACATGACAAGTAAAGGATGTTATGCTGTTCATGTAGTTTGTGTAAGGTCAGATAAGATGAGCAGTTAGTTTAGAATTTTTTGTTTGGAGGCAGATTTATCTCTCACAATAGTCCAGACCTCATTAGAGCTGAAAACATTTAGCGTGTTTACTGCAAATTAATGATGCCTATTCTGTATGGTTACTCATTAGAAAGGCAGTTCAAGCATTGTACTGTATATGCACAAAGGAAAGCTTGAAAGTTCCCAACTAATAAATGCTTTGTAACTATGAGTCAGTAACCCCCCCCCCTCCCTTTTTTGTGTGTGAAATGCCGGCTCATTACTCAAGGTAAACTTAAATACAAACACATTCTTTGCTGTTGTAGTTACATTTTTATTTATTATACACCACATTATTATACATTATTATTATTATTATTTGTCAATACATTCCATTCCCATAATGTTCAATAAGCAAATATAAATTGAACCAAATACCAGGCTCTGCACATATGCACAAAATATAAGGAAGGAAGGATACTTCACATTCACATTTGATGGTGAAACAATGGTTAATAATTCCCTAAGCGTACACATCTTTATCATGTTATTAGTTCCTTTTGAACTATTAACATGAACTACATAATCGTCATCACCCAACTGCTAAATGTGATTATTAGGCATGAGGATATTAAGAAATTATAAACATTTAACAAAACGATTTTCTGTAAAGCTGCTTTAAAACCATACATATTGTAAAAAGTGCTACAACTTAAAATGAATTGACTTGAGCTATTTTTATCACCATTATTCAGCACATATTAACTACATTTCGAAATGTTAGCTTGTAGTGTCTCCTTCCAACCAACCAAGAATTAAACTGCAAATTAAGTCAGTTTGGGAGCAGGTATTCTTTGGAGTGTAGATTACAGCCTTTTCATTTATTTGATGACGAATACGTAGTTAGGGCTCCTCAAAATAGCAACAAAGCTAATTGAAATTTCACTCATATTCAGTTTAAAAAGAAAACATTTCTATTTTCCACAAAATTTGCAATAACCTCTTCAAAGGCTTAAGCACACATGCAGTACATACTGTAGGAAAAGGGCACTGATGGCCCTTTGAGTGCAATGGGAAGCCGAAGAATTGATCCCCAGTCATTATAACCGATTTCAAATGGTGCTAGATGATAAAAGGGACTCTAAGCACCAGAGGAAATCAGTCATCCTTTGGTGGGGAGAGATGGGGGCAGGAACAGCCAGAGAGGGAGAAAGAGCTTCAGAAAACACAATCTCTCTTTACTAGCCCTCTCAAGCATAGTTAACAGTTCAAATGAGGGAACGAAAAACAAATACACACCACAATTCCTATAAAAAAAAGACAAGTAGACCCATGCGCACAAACTCTTTTATGATGTACTCATACAATAAATAGGTTACAGCCTACTCTGTGAGCAGTGTAGTTAGTAAATCAGTCCTATATTTAAGACCCGTTTAATGCAAAGTATTAAAAACTAAAGCTTGAACTTAAATTAAAAAGAAAATCGAAAAATAAGTCAATTCAAAGTATTAATAAATACTATAATTGCACATAAATACTAAAATAACATTACATCTTGCAGTCACACATTTATAAATTCATACACTTTTGTAATACACTGTTGTAATGCAAGATATTGCATCATATTTCTTTTGTTCCTACTTTCATGTTCTGCATCATTCACATACATAGCTTCATGCAAAACTGCATGATAACATCTGAAGATAATCAGACCTTACAGAAACATCCAAAACAAGATATAACACTGATGTTTTAGTGGATAAACATGGCAACGTATAAAATTTCCACCTACTTCAACTTAACCTTAAACGTTTAACTATGACTCATTACAACTCAATTCTTGTATTAAATTAACTTGTATAACTTGAAGTTATGTTTTAAGTGAAAAGTTACATTTTTAAATTTTGAATTGCAAATTCATTTAACCAATTTTAACTTCATTTAAAAGTTGAAATAACTTGTACAGCATATTTGATTATACTTAAAAATGTAAGGCAACCACACAGAAGTTTTTAAGTTTTAGTAGGTGGAATTTTTTTACAGTGACGTGTTGATCATATTTTTACAGTATACAGCAGTATTTTCCTTGTGGGACTGGGCTGGCTTGTTCACACCACATTCATTTGACTTCTAGTACCTCTGAGTGAGTTCATCAAGCGCTAAGGGCAAGCTATGAGCACTATCTGGGTCTCCTGTGATTCAATAGATGCACTTCCCTCACTTCTCTTGAAAAGCCACTCCACCCACTAAAGATTCCTTGTCCTGTTTTGTTATTCTTTGACTTCTCTTGGGATCGTCCATCGCTGCGAAATGTGATCCAGCGGCAATTCCCTCCCCAAGAACACTGATTTCAAATGGTGCTAGACACTGGTAGAACACATCTAAACCACCATGTGAAACCAGCATCCGGAGGAAGCGTCCAGGAGTGCGAACGATCCCATCAGAAGTCCCTGTGTCACTGGCTTGAGTTGATGATTAAAATAACAGGAAAGACAAAAGGTTGAAACAGCAGTAGGCATGCTTTAAAGTGACTCTGTCAAAACAAATGTCACGGTCATGGTCACCATGCCGTTTTTTGAATAGTGAAGTCCACTTTTCTCCATTGATACCAGACTTTGTAAAGCTAGTTGTTGATCAGTTG